TGAATTGGCATTTGCAAATCCAAAGATATTTAAATATTAATACCTGTTCTGCAGGAAGGTTCCTCTCCAGACCAGCCACTTTCCAGACATATCCTCATCTCAGGTCCAACCAGAGTTCCCTCATGGCAACTGTACTTTGCTACAATTGGCTGGACTCCAGTCACATTCACTGCTCCATTCTCTGGAGCCGAGGGCACAGGACAATTGCGAGTCATGTTGTTGAAACTGCAAGCTGAGGTGGTGTCAATGTTTAGGAACACAGATCTGCTTTGGTTTAAAAGCACACACCTGGTGTCCTGTGAATGTTGAGCTCCCATAGATCAGCTCTGTAGCTGCCACTGAATGAAGTGACAGGACCAAATCTTTGTTGGAGATAGAGCAGAAGCTCTGCAGTTCCTCCACCTCCATTATCAGTCCCATATCCATAGTGGTTGTCAGGGTCCCTCAGTGTCTCAGTTTGTCTAATAGCATTACTGGGGCTTGAAGTGACAGTACTGGCATAGTATCCACTCTAAATGAAGAGTAACCAAACACATAGGCTCAGTAGATTACTCTAATAACGTCTTGACCTTTTAATTACCAGAATGACTCTGTCGATGATGACTCCTCTAGTGACACTCAGTCTCCACCTTACTGGCTCATAGGATGTCAGAACTAGTATGAGAGGACGAGGACTCTCTCCAGAGACACTGACTATTACGTCTGTGTCTCCTGCTACTCTTTCTGTGAAGAACCCATGTCTTCCATTACTACTCTCGTAGTTCCCAATGACATGCACTTCATAGTTACAGTTGTCAGATGCCACACAGCTGTAAGTTGTCTCAGAGCCTCCATCGGTAGTTGGAGTTCCAACGACAGATGCAGAGTCTTGTTTTATCAAACAACTGCTAGTATCAGCTATATATATTATTGAAAACAGATTTATACTGTGAGTAAATAATCCATGATAGCACTTATTTATTATACGTGCTCATAAACCTTTGGATTAGCCCTCTTAGTTTTCTTAAGCCCAACATAAATGGCGCAACTTCATCTCATGCAACATGTTGCATGAGATAAAGTTGTGCAGTATATGTTGCGATTTTTGTTACATGAGGCAAGTTGCGTCGAATAGACAACCATTCTATTCCCAAGAAACAATTAACTTTTTCCCAACATACATGGTGCAACTTCAATGAGACTTCCATGAGACAAAAGTTGTGCCGTGTATGTTGTTGGGCTTTACAAAAACATTTTCAGCAGTCATAGAAGGCATTTCCAGGACCTTGGCACTGGCCATCAACACAGTAGTTGCGTGGACTGGCACACTCTCTTATCGTGGAAGTCAAACAGTCAAAGATAGTAATTCTCTTTTAAAAATTACTATTGGTTCGCTAACACTCGTAGCATTCCAGTACAGCATTATACTGTCATTCAGCATAACACCACACTGAACACCATTGCATGCACACTACTGCTTCCCCCACAAGGTTGTTTCCCAACATGAAAGACTGTGTACTTATAGAGCATCAGCTGATAATTCCTGTAAAACTTGATGTCTGATCAATTTTTAATGGTTGTTAATGTTAATGTACAGGCAGCATTTGAGGCCATGTCTAGTAGCTACCTAAAACATTTTCCTGTAACTGAAAGGGGGTGACTAGACATGATCACATACCTTACACACGGTCAGGTAGCTATGTGATGAGTCATAGGAACTGCTGTGTGAACTTTTTAAACCTTACACATGAAAGCCATAGAATGCACTTTTGCACCAGACACTTCCTGTTGGGAGCAACCACTACAGGGATGCTGTTTACAACCTCATTCCTCATTTGTCCACCCTGACCCCCAATTATACCCAAACGAACCTACAGACTGTAACCTGCATTACTATACATACATGTTTTCCTCAGACAACCAACAATTGAACACTAACTCTATGTTTTTTTCCAAGTGTCATAATTTGTAAGTGTAACAAAGCTAAATGTGTCTATGTTGTACAAGGGTATGAGTAGGTAATGATGTAAGTGTAGCCCCTTACCGATTGTCACAAAGCAAAAAGACTGAAACCAGAGCACAAACCAAATTATAGCACACTGCAAGAACAGAAACGGGCTAACTAAGCTTAGCTTAACAATCCAAAATCACTTTACTTTTCGTTCCATGGTTTTTCGGGCGTCGAACAGTTACTTACTCTCGACGACAATTTTCTTTTACAGGAGAAGATTTTCCTTTCTTCGGTCGAATAATGTTTTCTGGCGGCTACTTTGTAGCTATTGCGGCGGCGTTTCTGCTTTTCACCTTTTTAGAGCGCCGATTGGCCTTTTGAAAGCGATAGATCACAACGCCTCGGGGCGCTTTTTAAAGTGGCTATTTGTCTGGCACCGGATGCCCGTAGCTATTGGTCGTCAATCCCGTACTCGCCGCGTGTACGGCCACCGGCACGCGCGACTAACCTCCGACCCTTGCAGTAGGTATATCACTAAGTACGGTAGTACTTAGTATGGATTACACAGGTTGTCCTGCATTATGCCCCACATTTGAGATTTTTTAGGTTTCACTTTCAGTTTCAATCAGATCCAACTTTTGACACATCAGACTGATCCGTATCATCACAAAGAGCATGTATCCAAGTAAAAAAGTCAGTTTTCAAAATTCTTCTCGTTGTTGTTGTTCAGTTTAGACAATCAAAAACCACTTGAGATATGGAGATGAAACTTTGCACAAAGATTGTAATCTGTGACCCGGCGTGCTAGAGCTTTTTAAAACAACAACAAAAAACAAAAATAGCCTCAGGCCATACATTATGATATAGACTAATAAAGTGTGCTAACTAGGTAGAGCAAATACCCAGAATGAACTTTGTACACACATGCAACCCATCATTAGTATCAAAATGTAAACATTGCAGGTTGGTAAACAACAACAAACAGCCTCAGGCAATAACAACTTGTAAAATGTGTTTGTGCCTACAAGTCAACTTGATTATTGTTGGTCCTCTAAAAATGAAACTTGGTAGCTACACTGATTTACCATGATAAGAGTTCATCGAAACAGAAATTACAAGCAGCATTTGAGGCCATGTCTTAATATATACCTAGAACATTCTCCTGTAACTGAAAGGGGGTTAATGTGCCCTCGGGATTTATCAACACATTCATTCGGGTATTTGCGATAACACTCTAGTAGACGTGGTATAACTACTACATACACAATTGCATGTAGTGCATACTGAAGGTTAGGTGGTATGATATGGTGTAATATCTTCTGATCGATTGCAAGACCATGGGAGTCGGTTAGAGCCACTGTGTGCTTGTACCACTTTGACTTCAGACAGATTAGTTCCTCTTTCTCAAATTTGTCCTTGGAAGCAGTTAGCTACCACTATTCCTCTTTTACTCTTTTCTCATGACAGATTCTGCTACCACATTTAGATAAACTGAATTGATCACTGTACCTCAGCATAATGGCAGGTGCACTTCCACTGTGCTATGGAAGAGCAACAGATGGTATAGGCAGCGGAAGTAAGCTCAAAGCGGGTGAAATAATAAGTGCATATGCGATAGCAGACTCTCTTCCTATTACAGTGTCTGCTAAGACTAGTCCTTGGTAGCGGGATTGTCTTTTGATCTGGCAGACGTTCACAATTGAAATGGAGAGTCCACAGAAAAACAAGATCGATCCTTTATCAGTCTGCCAAATCAGAGCTATTTATGCTTTTACACTAGAATCACATATCAAGAGGCTGTGCTCAGTTTACCATGAGCGAGGAAGTAAGAACTCTATAGTATGAGTTATGATCCAGCAGATGTGTTCCAACACAATGGATTTTCCAGAAAGAGATGCAGGCTGCATGCTGGCGGCTCCTTACTTACAAGTATATACAATATAAAGCAATTTATTATGAACAACCACCAAGTTGTGGGTACTGTTGTGCTGCCGTGAAGGATTTTGTATCGTTATGCAGCTATCATGTGGGCTAAGAATCCAAGAAATCTTGCTCTTGTATTCTCCACAATGAAATTTTGATCGATCAAAATCCGATGAACCTAGTGTAATTGGCGAGTTGGAGCAAGCTAACCTTGTGGTCTGAACGGCGCGATATTCCTGTTTGTAGTGAAAACCAAATTTCAATTACACTATATACCCAAAATGGATGTAAAACTGAACTCATACGTTTCGATGGCTATGCAGCCACCATCATCAATGAAAAATACACACAGGGCTATTGGGAGGTGATATAAGAATGAGAAAGGAGAAGGAGAGTAGCAACATTACATAATGAACTGGAATGCAGATGACAAACGAAGGAGGAGGTTGGGATCAGTATAGCTTCAGTACATTATCTTACATGACAGGTAGAGTGCCAGAGGCTCTGTTCAATGTGTTTCTGGTGAACCTAATAGCAATTGCCTCAATAACAAGCCTTGAGGGGAAATCTGGGCACCTGTTAACAACAGACACATTCTCCCAGTCCACAGAATGGCCAGCAGACCATGCATGTGCAGCGAGGACAGAGGAGTTGAAGTCTGCTGACTTCACTCCTCTCTTATGTTCACAAAGGCGCTGGTTCAGTCTGCAACCTAATAATATACACGGGATCGTATAAACAACGCTTGATCTCGGATATCTGGGATTAGGTCTTTCGGTCTCAATAGAAGTTGTCTTAAAGTTTGGTGTGGTAGGAAACACACTCTCACTTGTAAAGGGGGGGGAAATACGCCCATTCAGACACACCCTGAACATAAGGGATAACAGCATGTGGCGACTCCAGCACACTAATAGCAGCAGTGCTGAAACGGACAGACACGGAGTGTCGCGTGGAACCTAAAAATAAAATTCGCAATGAGCTGGTTGCAGCTACGTAGCGACACACAATAGTAGCTGCTTACCACAAGACGGATAGCTAGGCCCAAATATGGGAGCAAAGCGGCGGGAAACCCTTGCGAGTGAAAAAAAACAACGGCAACACGGCGGAGACCACGCGGTTTTATAAGAGCGCTCTAACGCGCCGCGGCAGCGCCCAAGTGTGGGTGGGGTCTCGCCAATGCCGTCGTTTTCTGTCTGTTGTAGTGCCCGCCAGGAATCGATAGCTAGGCGGCAAGATAACAAAATTAATGTCGCATTACGACGATGCACACCTCCAGCATCCCGGGCACGTTTAGTGAGAAATTCAGCGCATCAACTGGTTTTCCAGTAAGGAGAAACCGGGTCTAAAGAAGACGAATAAGATGAGGAACACTAGTAGGCGAATGCATGGCATTTTTGGCGAGCGGGAGCGAGAACACAATGACAGTATCTGCACGAGCCATCATAGCAGCGTGTAGAAGCGCGTCCTGACGCATGCGCAGGTAGCACATGTGAAAAATTTTGGAAATGATTTCGGATAAAAAATTTTAAAAATGCTCAAAACGCTCTTTGGTGCCTGACTTTACCTCTTTCCAATCTTCGTGCTTTAAAGGTGCAAGTTGTAGGATGACTCGTGCATATACAGTCATTGTGAAACAAAAGAACAGAAAAGAAGAGGAGAACCTCATCACCATCCATGTGATCAACCTCCACATGTCACCCACTGTCACTAACATTGGTGTCTGTGTGACTATTATATAGTTAGCTATGTAGCTCTCTTCTGCTTGTGTTGTAGCCCTAGTGTAGGAGAGGAAAGAGAGAAACTTTCATACTTCACGGTGTAGTGTTTCAACGATGAATTAATCGGTGGACTTTTAATTAAAAGCACTGAAGTGCAAACCCTCAGCGCACTGTGACGCGCACGCGTAAGTAAACACATGCGCCGTACCACTAATTGATGGACTGGGTTTAGTTTTAGCGGTCTCTTCCCAGCTCGCGCAGAGTCTGACGCGGGCTAACTACACTGCTAGATAGCATGCGAGAGGCGATTTACGCCCTGCGTTGCATCTTCTGGTGCCTCCGAAGTACGCAGAGCACGCGGATTGATCCGACTGTGGTAAGCCGTTGTGTATTTGCATATTGGCTTTTTCGCGCTCTAGCTTTGCAACGGAGCAGTTTCAGAGAAAACCGTTCGAAACTTCTGACCTTTATTGCCCGTTAAGTAGGTCGTATCCTTTGTGAGACGAACAAACACCCGAGAAGTGAGATTGAGAGTAACAGACAGACACACGGAAGGACGGACGGACGTACCCAACTACTGTAACCCTCGCTGCGCATGCGCGCCGAGGGTTAATAAACATAAGTTGTCCCTGCCAGCACTACTCTAATCAGCGTATTTCCGTTTCCAGTACACACTTCATTGTTATGAATTTGTACTATAACATTTATGGAACTGGATATAATACGCTTATAAGTAGCTACTAGTCTCTTCAGGTTAACTCCATTATTAACCCTCGGCGCTCAAGGGTTGTAAATTATAGAATAATTGTGTGGGTTCTTTCATTTAAAAAAATTTATATTGAGTGTACAATAACATTGTGTCTCACAGGGCATTAACGTCTACGATTGAGATATTGATATGCTGTAGCTAGTCAGAGCACATCTGGAAGACAGGGAAATACTTTACACTCACAAACAGCCTAAAACCTCTCAAAACCGGGTTATGATTATGAATAGTCACTGAGTGCAGACTGCTGCGCTCAGTGCCAACTGTAGCTCGCGTGCCACAACACGTGATGCATGGTTAAAAGGTCATGCGAAACGTTGATTGCGGGGCAGATGATGTCTTCATTTCCTGGAGTGACAGCTGCGGGGTTCTCCTCCCTCCCCCCACTACCCTTTCGCTAGCAGTAAGGATAGAAGAGTCCGACACGGGTGGAAATCTCGTACGCTTATAGTCAAAAATCCTCAGTAGAAATCAATTGGAAATCAACTGAAATCAGCGAAAAATCAGAAATCAAGTTGCCGTAAGCTGTAAAAAATTTTTAAAATTCAACCGTTCCATTTTAGTGATTACAAGAATCATTCTCATGTGAGAGACCTACTAACATATGCGTGGAAGCCGATCATAATAAAGAAAGTGTCCCTAGAGTATGATATAATTATGTATGGAGATGCAAGCATGAGAATGACAGAATCATGTGACATATAAGAGGCTCTCTCACACCTCCTATATTTCCCCTTCTTTCCTGCCGTCCGCTATTACCACAAAGCAATAGAGTTTACTCACGACGGAATGATAGAGTACTTGCACTTCCCAAAGGCCAGGAAGGACTTGGCAAATATGTACTCTATAGAAGCTGCTGGTTTTCTAATGTGGGCTAATACCATTATGAAGGAGCTACTTATTGAGCCCTGGCTGGACTGTGCTCTCACAGGGAGTGTATAGCTCCACTTGGAGCCACTCTCTGGCATTGTAATTTTACAAAAAACCATGATGGACACTACATCGGGTGTCATAGATACAACCAATCAGCCTTGGATATCATTCTAGCTCGAGAGTTTGGTCCACACTCAACACAGAGAGCTAAAAATGACAAA